CATTCAGAACGTATTTAGATGTTCCCATTTTACCCTCAACTCCCTCATACAGTAACTGTTACACTAAGGGTCTAATGACCTTTTTGAATTTAGGTAAAAATATCTCTCATGACAAAAAATCAAAAAAAATTTGCTAGGTGAATTTTTTGATTCATTCCTTTTCCAAAAGAAAACAAAAAATCTCCATTACATAATTTTACCATTGAATATTTCATAATATCCCACTTCAGTTTTGAAATAACTATTAATAGTCTTTCTACGCGTGTGTGATGCTGCTATTTTGTCTGATTTGAATTTTTATGTTCAAAATAAATAGTTGACGTCATACCACATAATATTTTTTTTTAAGAAAATGATGTAAATTATATTAAAAAAATTGTCGCGAAAAATAATAAATATTAATAAAATAATTAATTTTTCAAAGAAAAAACTCTCACACTAAGGGTCTAATGGCCTTCTTGTATGTAGACAAAATATCTCTTTACCTTGATAAAAAGTGAAAAACAGTGTGCTACCTAAAGTCTTTGATTCATTTTTTTTCCAAAACAAACAAATGAATAGTGATGGTAGTATTCGTGAACAAAGTATCAAATTAGACAATTACAAAGATTATTATAATCAGAAATTATATAATAATTAAAATTAAATATGTTGCCTCCATATAAATATTATTTAATTAAAATTGAAAAAATTAAATTTCATCATAAAGATAAAAGAAATAAAAAGAATTTTAAATTGAAAAAAAAATATTTATATGATGAACAAAACAAATTAAAAAAAAAATTACATTTTATCATAAAATAAAAAGAATTTTGAATCAAAAAAATTATTTATAATATGAATAAAAAATTTAAAAAAATATATAATAAAAACTAAATAAAGAATATATAAATATTTTTTAATTAAAAAGAATTTAAAATCGAAAAAATATTTATATAATGAACAAAACAAATAAAAAAAAATGGAGCTCCGTGTCACTCTCCATGTCGTGGAGAAAAACTCTCCATAACACGGAGAGATTAATAATAATAAAATGAAATATTTAAAAAATAATAATGATGATGATGTAATGCATGTGAAAATATGTTGTAATTGAGTATATGATGTAAAAAAGATATCATGATAATTAATTGAGTTTTGTCTTTGTCGTTACTTGATGAATTTTAAAGTTGGGATATTAATTATGGACATTGATAAAGCTTAAATTAAAAAAAGAATTATTTTATATCATAAAACGAAAAAAATTAAAAAGAATTCTAAATTGAAAAAAAAATTATTTATAATATGAAGGAAAAAAGAAATTTTAAAAATATATATAATAAATTAAACAAAAGAAAGATACAAAAATCAAATAAATAATATTTAGTTGAAATTGAAAAAAAATAAGTTTTATCGACAAAAGAGTTAAAAATATTATTAGTAATATAAATTAAAAAAGAAAAAGAAAAAGAAAAAGAATGGAAACAAACGGAAAAATTCCTCGACATAACACGGAGAGATATGGAGAGGAGCTCTCCAAATTTTTTTTTTTAATTTGTTTACATTTTTTCGATTTAAAATTATTTTTAATTCTTTTATTTTTATGAAAAAGTTAATAATTTTAATTTTAATTAATTATATAATATTTATATATTCTTCATTTAATTTTTATAACTTTCTTCTATTTATTTTTTTATTATATTTTTTTAAAAATATTTTAAAAAATGTCTTCTTCTTTATAAATTTTTTTTGTTCAATTTGAACTAAAAAAACTTTACAATGATTTTTTTTTTGCCCTTTTCAAGTCAGAATAAAATAGTATAACATTTTAAAAAAAGAACCAAATGGCAAATAGTAATCTGGCACGAATCCGTAGAGAACAATGCCACAACAAGTAATAATATTTATATATTCTTCTTTTAATTTTCTAAACTATTCACTTTTTCCCCTAATTTTGCTTGAAACTTTTTGCTTCTTTTCAGTAAGTTGGAAGCAATGATTAAATAATATTTATATGGAGGCAAGATAATTAACTAATAAAAATTAAATGATTTAACTAATTAAAGAACTAAAAAAGGATTGCAGACAAAAATTAAAAAGAAAGTTATTATAAAGTTTTTTTAATTAAATTGGAATAATAAAATTAAAAATAAATATTATTTAATTAGAATTGAAAAAATTACATTTTATCATAAAACAAAAAGAATTAAAAAGAATTTTAAATTGAACAAAAAAATTATTTATAATATGAAGAAAAAAGAAATTTGAAAACAATTTTCAAAAAAATATATAATAAAAACGAAACAAAGTAAACAAAAGAAAGTTATGAAAATTAAATAACAAATATATTTAAAAATTATTTAATTAAAATTGAAAAAATAAAGTTTTATCATAAGATGATAGAATTTTAATTAAAAAAAGTATTTATTCGATGAGCAAAACAAATTAAAAATAAAATAAAATGGAATGAGTCTCTCTATAACACGGAGGGAATTCTCTCCGTGTTATTCTCTCCATGTTATGGAGAGAAACTCCCCAATTTTTTTATTTGTTTTGTTTATCTTATAATTTTTTTTCGTGTTAAATTTCTTTTTAATTTTTTCCCTTTATGATAAAACTAAATTTTTTCAATTTTAGGTAAATAATGTTTATATATTTTTTATTTAGTTTTCGTAACTTTCTTTTGTTTAATTTTTTTATTATATTATTTTGAAATTTTTTTAAAATATCTTTTTCTTTGTAAAATATTTTTTCTTCAATATTAATTAAAAAACTTTTTAATAACTTTTTCTTTTGTTTGCAATTCTTTTTTAAGTTAAAATAAAATAGTATAACGTTTAAAAAAGGAAAAAAAATGGCAGACAGTACAAAACCACTTTGGGATTTAAAATTTCTTTTTAAAAAGAATTTTAAATTAAACAAAAAATTATCTATAATATGAAGAAAAAGAAATTTTAAAACAATTTAAAGAAAATATATAATAAAAACAAAACAAATTA